TAATGTGCCGCAAGCTCAAGCACTCCCCCCCTTCACATGATTTGATGAAAAGGCAATGATACAGTGACCGGCTGCATTTTACCAATAAAGAGGATTGCTATTGATGGCTGGCCTCATCAAGAAAATGTAACACAAGGAGAAAAAAAAATCTTGTGAAATTTGCAAATAGCACGGACAAAGAAACTGCACACAGGAAGAGAGTTTAAAATGATTTGTGCATGTTTCCAGCCAAACCATTTAAAACAGGTACAAGTAATGAATGATACATATGGATTGTGGCATGCACACATACGATGAACCCCTACCCGACATGTTAAATTACAGGAGGCAGCAGACTGAGACAGACAGGTTGGGAGGGGGGGGGGAGGCTGTCAAAGTGTCTGACTTGGTTTGACTGTGTTTGGCTGGGGGTTGTTTGACCAGGGGGTTGACGGGGCTGCAGGACTGATTTCTGGCTCGATTTGGCTCAGGGCTGGCTGCAGACGGACCAGAGGCTGACTGAACGGGGGGTTGGGTCTCCCTTTGCTTCTCAGCTCAAGTTGTCCCTGGAGCGAAGCAATAAGAAGCAGCTTATAACATAAGCAAACACAGAGGCAGCTTACAGACAGCCAGCCAGCCAGCCAGCCGAGTATGAACACGTGAACACACACACACACACACACACACACACACACACACACACACACACACACACACATCCCTGACCTTGACCCCTGAGGTCCTTCCTAACCTGTTTCTGAATGGAAGTCAGTGCAGCTGGGGCGTCTAGCCGTGAACTAACCTCAACCCCCCTCCACTGCACGGACCCCTCATCGCCTAATCATTTAGCCTGTTCCCACGCTTCCTGACTGGGTGCTGTCTCTGCATCTGAATGGAACAATTCAATATTTATGTGGCTGCCATAGTCCTGCTTCTGAGGCGACTACAATTGCAGGATTATCTGTGACTAGTATGAATTACCTGATTAACATGAATGAAAATGTTTTATTTTGGTTTCGGGAAAGTTTTTCTTTCTGTCTTTTCAAGAGAAAATTAGTCCTCTGTTCCTCACAAACAAAATTGCATTTCAGTCTCTCTATTGCTCACCCTTTTATTCCATTCAGCCTGAGCACATACATGCACTATAATGTATGTGATAGCGTGTGTGCGTGTGTGTGTGTGTGTATGCTCATAAACACCATTCAGGGGGTTCAAACCCCTCCACCTTCACATTTTCATTACGGCCAAATCTCAGGCCTGTGCTACAGCCGCGTGGCCTTTTGCCGGCGAGGAGGCAGTTTAATCACACATACAGCACTACTCCATTTTCATTTCCTTTTTATACAGCCTCCATTCCACTCTGGCTTCATAATTCTCCCCTCAGAGCTGTCTAACTCGCCTGAGTGTTTGCAGCCTGTTGAAATGACATAATCAGTGACTTGGATAAATGCCTGACTGTTTTCCACGAGTCTATAATCAGACTTGGGGCTCAGTGTTGCAGCTATGGAGAAACAGCAGCAGCAACACTTGACTCAGGAAATACTTTGTAAGGAGGGGGGGTTTCACAAAAAGAATTTTGGCTGAGTAGAGATTAAATAAATGTATTATATTCTACAAAGTGCACCTTGACACTGTTATTTTCAAGAGACATATGTATAGTTCAATTACATACAGGCAATCCGCTAAAAATAATTCTCAGAAATGTCTTCAAGATATAAGATGCAAAAAGTCTAATCATATTTAAAAAAAAAAAAAATTATGGAGGAGATTCAATATAATGACACATGTTTTGTTTATATGTAAGAAATCAGGAATTAAGAAAAAATGTCATTTAACCAAAGGGCTTTGTGATCATTTGAGCTATAAGCAGAGTTTTTTAAAGCTACTCTCACACAGCAAACAATAAGATACCCAACAAGAGCAAATTTAAACAATTCACTTAATTTGTTACATTTAAAAGACTTCAACACAAGTTTTTCTTGTTATCATAATTTATCTATTTCGGTAATGAACTGATCACATCATTTGTTTAGTTTCCACAAAGAAAGAAAGACGTGGGCCAGGATGAATTGAGCGATGGCTGTAAATGCTTTCAGCAACTATTACTTCAGTGGGTGGAACACATTCAATCAATACCTGAGCAAATAAAAAGCAGTGGGTAGTCTGAATGAGAAAAGCTGCAGCGGACTGCACGACAATCACACTCACACAAATGAACAGTCCACATTCAAGCTACTGCTTGATTATAATAAGAAATACAACCCTAAATATCCAGTTGATAAAACTGACTGTAAGAGTTAAACGGACACATTTTTATTGTCTTTTTGTTTTGGTTATATTTTTTTGGGAGGTCTTTTATTGTACTCTAACCAAATATGTTTAAATCATGCAATATTTTGTTGACATAAATTGACAGCATTAAGACAGAAATATATATTTTGTATACAGTAAGGCCAATCAGTTCTGTATTTAAGATAGCTAAATCATTTTATTTCAAATAACTTGAGTATTTCAGGCATGACAGGACCCCTACTGTTTCTTTGGCCTTAAAGCCCATGTGACTAAAGAGATTGTGGATATTTTCCTTCTGCTCTAATCTCAAACACAGACATACAGAAACACACACTTTTATATGAATGCACATGCAATATGTCCTCAAGCCAGCTGTAGTCCATCCTGCCTGTTTCTTTAGTGTGAGGCAGTGACGTAGCGACACACCGCGAAAAGAGTTATTTGTGCAAAAGCTTTTTGCAGGAGATCGTTGGGATTTGTGTTCTTTTTTTCCCCCTTCAAGTAGGTGTAAATGAAAAATAAGTGTGTGACACATGACACGTGTGTGCATTAGAGTGTGTGTGCGTGTGTAACAGTTATAGCGACTGAACAGCATATGTGGTCGGGTGATGGCAAATTTAGTACCCTCCGGTTTGACTTGAATATGCAAATGAGTACTAAACAGCTTCACCCAGTTTATCCCCGTTGATCCCCGCCACTCATTCTTCTTAACATCCACCACCCTTGTGCTGGTCTTTAATGCTGCTCCCTCCAACAGGGAATCACACCTTTCTATAGTGCCCACACAGACATACAATAGGATGATATGTTTTTCCCTGCCTGCATCTTATATTTTCCCTTTCACATGTATGTTGTTTTAAATCTAAATATTAAATGGATCAAATAAATTCTATACTTTGTGTCTGGATTGTTGACGCCTAACCATAAGAACAGATTTAAGCCCACCTGGCTCACACTTTTCCTTCATAGAAGAATACAGTAGCATGAGGAGGCCTCTTAACACTAACCTGATCTACGCCTCAGCTTCTTCAGTGTCACTCTGGACTGATTAGACAGAGAAGCTTGATTAAAACTGCCTGAGTCTGATAGAGGAGACGATAACAACCACGAACCAGCCTTTCTAAAATGCCTTAATGCCAACAGTTTTTAGCACAAGCTTAAAAAGATAATTCATGTCAAAATCCTTACACAGATTTAGGGGCCAAACATAGCCTGTTGTTTGCTACATCATAACAACTATTTAGAAATGTTGCTCCTTGGTCATCGAGAGAGGGAGAGAGACAGTTTATGTCTGTGAAGTTCAATGCTACACTAGCAGACAAACACATACGTAGTGTAGAACAGGTCTTCAGAGTGGATGATGGCCTGTTTCCAGGACACAGCCAATTCCCCAAATCGCTCTCTCCAATAATTAACACTGACAGCTCAAAACGACCACGAATGCCACGGGAGTCCACAATGAAACGGACAATTGCACAAACACACAACGGCAGAGCACAGACACACACATACAAACATGAAAAAACATGTCAATGCACAACAGCAACAACAGTGGATCCATCCGCACAGCTAACACCACATTAAGACCATAAAGCACCGATACATCTCCTGCTTCACGTACATTGCCCGTATCCTGCTGCTCCTGCACTGATACCCCTGATCCCCCCGCGCTTTGACAAGGCGTAATAAAGCCTGTATGAAGCGCCGCATTGTGTGGGGAGAACACAATGTTGCATGCTGAGTGCTGTGAGAAGGGCGTACACCCGTGGGTCCCACGGCGCAGCAGCGCACCAGGGCCTATATCAGGGAGTGCTGAGCATGCTAATGAGGTCATTATGTTATGCCTCTCCCTCGCTCCTGCTCTCCTTTTTACAGTGTGGGCTCAGCCTGTCAGAGGAGGCAGGGTACCCTGCTAATGCAGCCAACCACAGATGTCACATATGGCACAATGAGAAGACACATGAGCGTCTCCGAATGCGAGAAATACGGGTGACGCTCCATTTTTCATCTTGCATCAAAAGCAAGAGCATGGCATCAGTGATTTGCATAAGGTGAGCTTAAAGGAAAGTAAAGGGGATGGCAACAACGGGGCTAATTGTTCCTGCTGCGTATTCAATCAGCTAACGCGCTGAATTGTATTTCCTTTTTTTCCCCTGCTTTGCTAGCTTTATTATTTACAACCGAGGAGGAGGGGTTAAGTAGCAACCACATGCAAATGCAATTACAGGATATTTGCATAGCCGTTAACAATTAGAGGGCAGATGGCAAACAGCGGGCATTAAAAAGAGACCGAGCGCCATCTTGGCTGAGGGAGACAGCTGGCAGACAGGAATCGGCCATTTTGTAAGCATGGGTCGCTGCCAGGCTGAGGCGGAGAGAGGCACCAGTCTCCCTCTGTGTGCCAGCAGATTGGCAGGCAAGGGGGAGTTGTGCTTTAATACCCTTCCCTGGTACATGCAACAACAACATACTCCTCCAACAGTCAGTGACAGAATGATCACAGCACACAGCTCCTGTTGAGAGCTGAGGAGATCAACTGCAACATAACGTGTCTGTGTTCACTTTCAAAACACACTCGCACCTCTGAGCAGAGACGCTATCTTATCATAACACTGCTACCGGTAGGAGAAACGTTTCCTATTTCCATTATTCTTGTGGCTTAAAACAATATGTCCCTCAGTATTACCCAACCACAAAACAAAGCAGTGAAATGAAGATACTGTACTCACCAAGAGGTGTGAAGTTTTCCTGTTGTCTTGCATTGCCCATCAAAGCAGACAAAGTTGTACAGTACACGTTTTCTGGCACGGCACGTTTTTCTTTTCGGCTGTCTTCTTCTTCTCTGTTTTCTTTTAAAGGCTTCACCTCTGCACTGGTGCTACATATGCTGGGAGGGGGGTTTATTCCGGAGGATCTTTCAAATGTTTTCAGTCACTGCCAATTGTGTTAAAACATCTCAAAGGGGAGTCTCTCTGTGTGGACTTTTGTTAACGTGGAGGACAAAAAAAAAAAAAAAAAAAAAAAAAGTCAGATGGAAAACCACGTAGTAGCAGACAGGAGAAGCGGGTAGGGGTGGAGTGGGGGGGGGGGTTTGAACACGTACAACTACTGTCCTTTTCATCTCTCATTCAATTAGCAGCCATTCACTCGTGCTGCCACGGGATCCCTGCTGCACGGCAGTAAGTGGACTTCAGGTGCTATTTCCACACACATGGAGAGAGAGAGGTATGAAAGCCCTGGCCCTCCTTCCTCTCTTCCACCTTCTAGATCAATACTGCGCTGCCATATCCTCTGATGGGAGCTGCTGTAGTGAGGGTAAGAAAATCTAAGGTGAAAAGACAGGTTGTGTCTGATACAGGGGATGGGAGAAAAAGTTCAAATTGTCCTTTCATCCTGGCTCATGAGATCTTAGGAATATTGTGCGCCAGGAGCTTGGAAGGACTGAGCAGAAATGTACCATCTCCACTGGATCCTTATTCAAACTGTGAAGGTGGAATGTGTAATAGGAGGGAGGGAGCCGGAAGAAGAAAAAAAAACCTTCGACGTCCTGTCTCATTCCTTTTCAGTTTCTCTCCTTCCCTCACTGTCTCCGTGTCTCTCTGACAAACTTTTATCAAGCGCTGTTGGACGTAGCAAAACCCCCTTCGGGTGAACCACACACAAAGACTCCCTCTCTCTTTCTTTTCCCTCTCCCTTTTTTTTTCCCTCAATTTTACACACACATGTGCACCTCCTGACACACATACTGCGTGTGGGGCGGTTGCAGGGTTAGGGCCCTGGCCCTAGCTGATGCTGGCACTGTTTGAGGAAGATAGAAAGAGAGAAGCAGAGAGGAGCTGGGAGCAGTGGTGGTGGTTGGTCCCTGGGCTCCAAGGCCTGCAGGCTGTGCTGGGCAACCTCTGCTAGCCTCTCTCCTCTGTATTGATTTCTGCTGCTCTGCGCTGCTCCGCTCTGCCGCGGAGGCTCCTAGCCGGCGGGGATAAGAGCTCGGCTCACCCGCCTCACCTGCCTCTCTCCTGGCTCGGCTGGCCCAGCCTGCCCACTCTGCCGCAGCTTTGGCTGGCCCCTGCTGGCTCCCCAGGACCCCTGTTTGCAGCGCCGGGGCCACGGGAGAAAGGCAGCCAGAGAGCCCATGGCGATCCACAGCTGTGTTCACCTGCTCTGGGTTCACCCGCTTCGAACCACCTCCTCGAACTGCTTCCATCCTTCTCTCCTTCCATCCTTCCACCCACTCTTCTTCTCTTTTTCCTCCTCCTCCACTACCTCCTCCTCCTCTTCTTCTTCTTCCTCTTCTCCTTCCTGCTGTTCACAAACAAGCAGAGACAGAGACGGAGAAAAAACAAGTTAATCTCAACTTTCAGCAGTTTACCCACTGAATGTCAATCGTGTGCTTTGATCAGTGAGAAGTCGGGGGTGAGGAATCTGGCATCCTCTCCCAGCCTGAATGTGAACCTGCTAACCTTGAGAGCAAAAACTGCAGGGATTGGAGGCCTGTGAGTTAAGTGTGTCAGGCAGAGAGATACTGGATGCCAAAGGTACTCTCAGCTATTAGATTGTGATGTGCTGCAGATAGCAAATATAGCGAGAGTGGGCCCATTATAAAAATCACCACTGCGTCAATAAAATACACTAGAAATATTTACAGCAACATTTTCTCTCCAACACCCGACCTCTTTTACTCTCCCTTAAGCTCGCTGAGTTATTCATTTGCCCTTAACGATTATAAACAACAATATGAAATGTGAAACTGATGGAATATTTCAAACTATACCCTCTCTGTTTGCACCATAGTGTGAGTGAAGGAATGGAAATGCTTTGGCTGGACTGGTGGTGCTCTATAGAAACTTTGTCAAAGAAAACATCTCAGCTTTTGTATCAACCCAGAATTATTCAAATGTGTTCAGCAGCTCTCTTCTTATGATAATAGCAGTTTAGGGGAGGGGGGCACATTTCTTTGAGGATTCATGGTCCCATTGTGTTCCTCAACAGAAAAAGAGCCGTGGCCAAATTCAAGCCCAACCAACATCCCACATAGCACTGAACCAACCACACCGTCTTAAAAAATATCCTTAATATCCTCACCGCCTCAGCCACCACAGAGCTGTGACAGCCCTTCTGTCCACCTCTTTCTGTATAAGAGACTAAAACCCACAGGCCGACGGCCAGGGAATAGAGAAGTAAAGTGTAGAGGTTTAGAGTCGGTGGGCCGGCAAGGCTTTGGAAGGAAGAGCTGTCTGTTAAGGAAGGGGGTACAAGAGTTGCATTGGGGGGGTTACACAGTTGGGACAAGAGAGGCAAGTTTGGGCAAGGGGGGGTGAGTTAAGTTGGGGGGGGGGGGACATGGATGGGGACCGGGTGTGCGGTGCATGTCTCAGACACAATAATACTATTCATTGGGCTCAGACATGGGTGTTAACTCCCCTCTGACAGAGCACAATGGGGCTCGGCGGCATTCAGGCAGCCTCGGTGATATTGTTAGTTCAGGGCTGCATTCTCCCTGCTGCAGAACAGAGCGCCTGCATTGTACCAGTCCGGCACGATGGATGGATGGAGGTTTGAGAGGTGAAAGGCAAAAGAAAGAGAGAACAGTACGTTTGTCTATCTGTCAGAAGCTGAAGGAACCAGCGGCAGAGGGGACAGGGGGTGTAGATGGCGGGGATGGGGTGTTTTCGCCCCATGGCATTAGACCTGTTTGTTTCAAAACATAAAACTGAGACTTAAAGAGGATGTGTAATAAATATTACTCAAGCAGCTGAGTGCAGGACTAAAGGGGCATTCAAGAAGAAGGGGACACAGACAAAGAGAAGAAGGCTTGGTAGCCTTTTTAAGGGAGAAAACACAGCAAGTTGATATGCTGCTTTAGAGTTTAGGTGCATTTTCTTTATTTACCTTAAAAGAGGAAGAGCACTGAGGAATGGGATAGGGGAATGACAGAAAATGAGAAGTGGAGGTTGCTGCTGTTTGTGACTCAACCGAGTTAACATCCAACTACCGAGAGACCTACTTTTCCAGAGGAGAAGAGGGGAGAGGAGATGCCGTCTATGATTTGAAGGGAGAGAAAAAAGAGCTGTGATCCAGCACAGAAGGCATCGGGGACTGAAGGCTGTGACAAAAACATTAACACAAGGCAGGTCTTCAACCTAACGTAGCGCAAATCTGAACTGAATTTCCAGAAAATCTACAATTTGAATTTAAGGTTGAAACATCTTGTGAGTCAAATCCAGATATTTAAGTATTGCAAACAAAAAGGCCCCAAGTAAGAAGATGTACCTAAAAGACCTTTACATCAATATGTTTCTCTAAATTAGAAATTATGTGAAAGAACAATTATTAGACGAAAAATGGATTAATCATTAAATAGAAGATCAAATTTCAGACAATTACCCATACAGGCACATCCAACTATCTAATGAAGTAGGTGCACAGGACATCAAACTATCACAGTGTGAACAAACTTGACTTGACAAAGGTTCAGAGGGACCGAAACATTTTGAAATTGGTGATGCAGAGCCAAGAGTAGTTTGCAGGACTTTTTCTTTTCAGTGTGAGTTCATTTGAAAATATTCTGCCAGCACTTGTGTTAATATTAAGGAGTTAAATCATTTTGGGTTTTCATTGCTGGTAATTCATGTGCAGGTTACTAATTTATGTATATGATTATTCGTTGCAACTCGTAAATAAGGCAAAAGATTTGAGAATGTCCATGAGTGAGTGCATCTTAAGGTGTGCATCTCCCAAACCAAAATGAGTCTGAAGACGGGTCAAACATAAAGGTAACAGGATGTTATCATATTTGGTCATAATCATTTCATCATCATCCTTTGAAGCTACAGTCACTGATTGTCTACCTTCACCTGAGCACTACAGAGATTTTATGAAGGTATTTGAAGTGTTGTTGGATGTAAATAATCAGAGGAAGCACAAAGCACATTTCATACACAAACATACACAGTATCAGTGCGCCTTCTGCACCTGACAATCTGCTGCCATGAACAGTACTTTGTTTGTTTCCCCTCTGGTTAACTCTGACCAGCCGTTCCCATGGCAACCTTACCTACTCATTCCCTGTGTGAACGTGTGTGTGTGAAAGAGAATACGCGAGATAGGGGGGGGAAAGGGAAAAGGAAAGAGAAAGGTATGTGGGGTTGTTCGAGGGTTTAAAGGAGGCCTTCCTGATCTTAATACAACAAACTTACACGTGTGTGTTGGCAAGAGCATATGTGTGCGTTTTGTGTGTGTGTTACAGGAGGTAGAAATATCAACGCAGTCATCCTCTTAGTGCGCACCTTAATCCTCAATGAACTGTGGATGATACTGTGGCATCCAGGAGAAGCTACAGTCATCTGAATTCACTGCCAGCACTGTAGGCCAAACTGCCTCTTCAGATAAGGAAAGGACTTGTGGTGTGATGCTGGGGTGTCAGGCAGGCAAGGCCAGGCCAGTGCACGGCTCTCATCAGGGGGCTAATGCCCTTCAGGGGTGGCTGAGGTAGTGAGGGTATTGCCCTTTGTCCCTAGTGGGGGGATTACACTGGTCAACCATCACAGACAATGTACCCCCCTCCTGGGATAGGAGGACCAACCTGCTCTCTACCAATGATAGGGGCAGTCAACTGATCACTAACTTAATTAAGGATAGAAGTAAGAGAGGAGGGAGAGAGTGAAGCAGAAGAAAGAGAAACAGGTAGAGAAGAAGGAGAGCTAACGGTGGGGATAAAGAAGACAAAGTGAGAGGAGAAGAAAGAGAAGCAAGGAGCAGAGGGACATGCTAAAATAAGATGAGGGACAGAGTTAAAAAGAAAGCAATGGGAAGCAGCAGAGGGTTGAAGAGAAGGCTTCTCTAGCACAGGATTAGGGGAGGGAAGATGAAAGGATCAGGTCTAACAGAGGACAGGAAGAAGGGCCAGGAGAGATGGCCAGAGGAGGGAAGCCAGGGACTTAAACTCCAAGCAGGGAATCAAGGAGTAGAGGAAAAATGAGGAGAAAAAGGAGTGCAGGTGTGAAAACTCCCTCCCTCTGTTTTCTGTTTATGCCACTGCGCACACACCCATTCAAATCCAAAGAGGAATGCAGCAGATAATTGTATTAGAGTGGACTTTAATAGAGGATATTTAGGGGACAGTTAGCGGACCCAGGTAGCATAGCTGCAGACAGATATGGCTTTGCAATACTTAACAACAGGGATTTGGCAGCACTGTTGATTGAACATGCCAAATCCCATTTGTCGGAGGGCTGTGCGCGTTTGTATCGACACTCTGTAACCTTGTGGCTCCGTAAAAGGAGACCTCAAAGTGTGTGTTTGTGTGTGTATTTTCCTGGCGGGCAGGCGGGCGGGCAGGCAGGCAGGCAGGCAGGCAGGTGGGTGGCATGTTTCAGTGGGATACAGGTGCAAAGTCCCCTCAATCTATGCTCCTCTCATCCCTTCATCCTTCCATCTTTTCCATTTTTACACAGCTGTCCATCTCGATTCCCTCTTTTTGCAAAAAAGGGGTGACAAGAAAGAGATAGAGAGGCTTTCTTAACACTTCTTTTCTTGCTTTTCCTCCCTCCCTCCCTCCCCTCTCCCTCCGTTCCTGCCATCCCCTATGGTAGAGCTGCCAGACAGGAGTGCTCAGCAGCTCTCCGAACGTTATTGATCCTGAGAGCAAGCCGGCCAGGGAGTTAGTGTCTCTCTCTCTCTCTCTATCTCTATTTCTCCTCCCTCCATCACCCTCACCCCCCATCGAAGCCCACGACTTTTTCTCCCCCATCCCTCCCTCCCTTACTGCCTCTACTTCATTTATCAAGGTTAAAGAACTCTTAAAAAAAAGGGAAGAGGGGGTCGTCGGGATGTTATCTGACTTCATGAAAGAAATCCCCTCAGGCCACTCCACTAGAGGAGGATGCTCTTCGCAAGGCCCAACTCTGCACACACACACACACGCACACACACACACACACACACACACACACGCACACACGCGCGCGCGCGCACACGCACACACGCACACACGCACACACGCACACACACAACCATAAATACACACATATCATGCAGTGGCACCAAGCAGCGGCCCACTCATAGGTAGTCAGAAATAGACAGCAACATGTCCTGTTTGGTACACAGCAGCAAGACATACAGGAATAGAAATGAAGAGGATGGATGAATGGAAAATTACAAAATTAGTCACTGAGTGTTATCCAACAAACTCAAACATGGGCATTACAGTGCCACTGTGCAACACACACAAGACTTAACATTACACAAGTTTACTGTATAAAGATTTGAACTAATGT